CAGCCAACATCATATTGAATAGCGAGAAGCTGAAAGCTTTTCCTCTGAGATCGGGAACAAGACCGGGATGCCCACTCTCTCCACTGTTATTTAACATATCACTAGAGGTCTTAGCCACGGCAATCTGACAAAACAAAGAAATACAAGGAATCCAGATTGATAAAGAAGAAGTTAAACTGTCACCATTTGCAAATGACATGATATTGTACATAAAAAACCCAAAAGACTCCACTCCAAAACTATTAGAACTGGTATCAGAATACAGAAAAGTTCCAGGATACAAAATTAACACACAGAAATCTGTGGCTTTCCTATACGCTATCAATGAACCAATAGAAAGAGAAATCAGGAAAACAATTCCATTCACAATTGCATCAAAAAGAAGAAAATACCTAGGAATAAACCGAACCAAAGAAGTGAAAGACCTATACCCTGATAAGACACTCTTAAGAGAAATTAAAGAGGAAACTAACAAATGGAAACTCATCCCATGCTCTTGGCTAGGAAGAATTAATATAGTCAAAATGGCCATTTTACCCAAAGCAATATACAGATTTGGTGCAATCCCTATAAAATTACCAACAACATTCTTTAACAAACTGGAACAAATAGTTCAAAAATTCATATGGAAACACCAAAAAACCAGAACAGCCAAAGCAATCCTGAGAAAGAAGAATAAACTCGGGGGGAACTCACTGCACACCCTCAAGCTCTAGTACAAAGCCATAGTAATCAAGACAATTTGGTACTGGCACAAGAACAGAGCCGTAGAACAGTGAAACAGATTAGAGACTGCAGACATTAACCCAAACATATATGGTCAATTACTATTCGATAAAGGAGCCAAGGACATACAATGGGGAAATGACAGTCTCCTCATCAGATGGTGCTGGCAAAACTGGACAGCTACATGTAAGAGATTGAAACTGGATCATTGTCTAACCCCATACACAAAAGTAAATTCAAAATGCATAAACGACCTGAATGTAATTCATGAAACCATAAAACTCTTAGAAAAAAACATAGGCAAAAATCTCTTGAACATAAACATTAGCAACTTCTTCATGAACATATCTCCCTGGGCAAGGAAAACAAAAGCAACAATGAACAAGTGGGACTACATCAAACTGAAAAGCTTCTGTACAGCAAAGGACACCATCAATAGAACAAAAAGGTACCCTACAGTATGGGAAAGCATATTCGTAAATGACAGATCTGATAAAGGCTTGACACCCAAAACATATAAAGACCTCACGCACCTCAACCAAAGAAAACCAAATGATCCAAATAAAAAATGGGCAGAGGAGCTGAACAGAGAATTCTTCAGAGAAGAAACTCAGATGGCCAAGAGACACATGAAAAGATGCTCCACATTGCTAGTTATCAGAGAGCTGCAAATCAAAACCACAATGAGATATCACCTTACACCAGTAAGGATGGCTACCATCCAAAAGACAAACAACAACAAATGTTGGCGAGGTTGTGGAGAAAGGGAAACCATCCTTCACTGCTGGTAGGAATGTAAATTAGTTCATCCATTGTGGAAAGCAGTATGGAGGTTCCTCAAAATGCTCAAAATAGACTTACCATTTGACCCAGGAATTCCACCTCTAGGAATTTACCCTAAGAATGCAGCACTCCAGTTTGAAAAAGACAGATGCACCCCTATGTTTATCACAGCACTATTTACAATAGCCAAGAAATGGAGGCAACTTAAGTGTCTATCAGTAGATGAATGGATAAAGAAGATGTGGTACATATACACAATGGAATATTATTCAGCCATAAGGAGAAAGCAAATCCCACAATTTGCAACAACATGGATGTAGCTAGAGGGTATTATGCTCAGTGAAATAATCCAAGGGGAGAAAGACAAATACCAAATGATTTCACTCATCTGTGGAGCATAGGAACAAAGGAAAAACTGAAGAAACAAAACAGCAGCAGAATCCCAGAACCCAAGAGTGGACTAACAGTTACCAAAGGGAAAAAGAGTCTGGGGAGAATGGGAGGGTAGGGAGGGATAAGGGTGGGGAAGAAAAAAGGGTTTATTATGATTAGCATGTATAATGTGGGGGGTGGGGGAAAGGGGAGGGCTGTGCAACACAGAGAATTCAAGTAGTGATTCTACAACATCTTACTATGCTGAAGGACCATAACTGTAATGGGGCTTGTGTGGAGGACTTGGGGTAGGTGAGATCCTAGTAAACATAATGTTCTTCATGTAATTGTAGATTAATGATAAAAAAAAATTTTAAATGTCAAAAAAAAAGAATATAATACCTAGGAATAAACCTAACCAAGGAAGTGAAAGACCCATACCCTTAAAACTACAAAACACTCTTGAGAGAAATTATAGAGGACACTAACAAATGGAAACTCATCCCATGCTCTTGGCTAGGAAGAATTAATATTGTCAAAATGGCCATCCTACCTTAAGCAATCTACAGATTCAATGCAATCCCTATCAAAATACCAACAGCATTCATCAATTAACTGGAGCAAATAGTTCTAATATTCATATGGAACCACAAAAAACCCTGAACAGCCAAAGCATTCCTGGGAAGGAATAATAAAGCAGGGGGATCTTGCTTTCCACCTTCAAACTCTATACAAAGCCACCGTAATCAAGACAATTTGGTACTGGCACAAAAACAGACCCACAGACAGTGGAACAGGATAGAGAGTCCAGATATTATCCCAAACATATATGGTCAATTAATATGTGATAAAGGAGCCATGGACATACAATGGGGAAATAACAGCCTCTTCAGCACCTGGTGTTGGCAAAACTGGACAGCTACATGTAAGAGAATGAAACTGGATCATTGTCTAACCCTATACACAAAAGTAAATTCAAAATGGATCAAAGTCCTGAATGTAAGCCATGAAACCATAATACTTTTAGAAAAAAACATTGGCAAAAATCTCTTAGACATAAGTATGAGTGACTTCTTCATGAACGTATCCCTGTGGGCAAGGGACACAAAAGCAAAAGTCAACAATTGGAACTGTATCAAGCTGAAAAACTTCTGTACAGCAAAGGACACCACGAATAGAACAATAAGGCATCCTACAGTATGGGAGAATATATTCATAAATGACAGATCCGATAAAGGGTTGACATCCAAAATATATAAAGAGTTCTTGCACCTCAACAAACAAAAAGCAAATAATCCAATTAAAAAATAGGTAGAGGAGCTGAATAGACAGTTCACCAAAGAAAAAGTTCAGATGGCCAACAGACACATGAAAAGATGCTCCACATCGCTTGTCATCAGAGAAATGCAAATTAAAACTACCATGAGGTATTATCTCATACCAGTAAGGATCACCACCATCCAAAAGTCAAACAACAACAAATGTTGGTGAGGATGTAGAGGAAGGTGAACCCTTGTACACTGCTGGTGGGAATGTAAATTAGTTCAACCATTGTGGAAAGCAGTATGGAGGTTTCTCAGAAACTCAAAATAGAAATACCATTTGACCCAAGAATTCCACACCTAGGAATTTACTGTAAGAATGCAGGAGCCCAATTTGAAAAAGACATATGCCTCCCTATATTTATCAGAGCACTATTTACAATAGCCAAGATATGGAAGCAACCTAAGTGTCCATCAGTAAATAAATGGATAAAGAAGATATGGCACATATACACAATGGAATATTATTCAGCCATAAGAAGAAAACAAATTCTACCATTTGCAACAACATGGATGGAGCTAGATGGTATTATGCTCAGTGAAATAAGCCAAGCAGAGAAAGACAAGTACCTAATGATTTTACTCATCTGAGGAATATAAGAACAAGAAAAAACTGTAGGAACAATACAGCAGCAGACTCACAGAACCCATGAATGGACTAACAGTTAGTAAAGGGACAGGGACTGGGGAAGATGGGTGGGAAGGGAGGGGTAAGGGGAAAAGGGGCATCATAATTAGCACACATAATGTAGTGGGGGGCACAGCAAAGGGAGTACAACACAGAGAAGACAAGTAGTGATTCTATTGCATGTTGCTACACTGATGGACAGTGAGTGTAATGGCATATGCAGTGGGGACTTGATAATGGGGGATGTCTAGTGTCCATAATGTTGCTCATGTAATTGTACATTAATTATACCTAAATAAATAAATAAATAATACTGTACTGTATATTTATAAGTTGCTAAGAGAGTACATCTAAAAGTTCTTAACACAAGAAAAACATTTTTTGGAACTGTGTATGGTAACAGAGGTTAACTAGATTTTTTGTGGTGATCATTTCACAATATAAACAAATATCAAATCAATTTGTTGTACACCTGATGCTAATATAATATTATATGTCAATCATATCTGAGCAAAAACAAAAAGACTGGTGTTCCTATGGATCTCTTTTCATCGCTTTTCCTAATCAGGCCAGTTTTGTATCCTCTAGTAACTGTGTAATGTCCAGGAAGTGGTGCTTGAAGATGTCAGAAGACTGGAAAGAGTGGTTGCTTGTGGTAAAGGAGCAGAGTCTCAGCTCTGTCACTTCCAAGCTCTTTGACCTTGAGCAAGGTACTTCACCTCTCTGAGCTGTGGTATCCTCATTTCTAAAATGAACCTAATTATGTCTTCCATACTACACAGAGTTGTTATAAGGATTAAAGTGTAATAGCATATTATCAGAATTAGTACTCTTAAACAGCAAGTAAGCTCCCCATTCTGTAGGCCACTATGATTGTGTCCTAGGAGTGGTGTCTTCTTAGTGCCTATGTGGGTATCTTCTTAAAGCCATCTTTGAAAGGAACATAATTCAGAGGCCTCACTCAGGGATGGAGTAGGCTCAAGGTGGACAGAGGGTGTCCAGGTTGAGTTAGGGTAATGTATGTGACATCAAATCTCGGAAAGGGAGATTTTAATACTAAGGACTCAAATCTTGAAGTTGGAACTCAAGACTGATCAGTACTATCCTTTTCTCTTCCCCCTCCTTTTTTTCTTTCTTCTCTTGTTGTTTCACGTGCATGATGACTGTAGAAGACGGTTTTCCAAGGAATGCTGGTTTGGAAGTCATCAAACATCGGTCATTCCTCCCACTGCCCTCAGCGACCCTAAAGGAGATGGTGAGTAGCTAAACTTTAACCTCAGAAATACATTGGGGATGGAGGGAGGTACAGAGACTGGGGAAAAGGACTATGATTAAATTATTCTCCTCTACTAACCAAACATTTTTTGGGAAGTAGGAGCATGCATGTGTGTAGAGAGATCATGGTTTTTTTTTGACCTTTGAAATGGTGAATGTTGATGATTATGGTGTATATGTATGTGAGCATGTTCTCTGTAGGCTCTGTCACAATTGTTTCTCAATGATCAGAATTGATTTAAGCTTTTTCATGATTTTCAGACAGTAGATAGTCCATGAAATAAGTTGGTTTGCATCCAGGTAGGAAGAAAGAACTACATGAAGGCTCAGGTTATGCTACTTTTAAAATAGAAACTAACACAAAAGTTGTCCCCAAGTCTGAAACTAATATGATTATTTCCCCAGTGCACTTCACTTATACTTTGTCAATTCCAGGACACTAGTGATTTATTGAGAACTCTATTTATAAGGTGTTTGAAGTCTACAAAGTGATACACAATACTTGGCATTGCCAGAGCTTATTATTATTGTGTTTCCAGGATATTGACATGACAATTGACAGATTAAGGTAGCATATTCTGGGGCCAAAGGAGTGGTAGAGACACTTGGAGATTAGCAAATGTTAGGAGTGTCAACCAATTGTAGGACTTTGCAAAGAAAAGAGGTGGTGATAAAATCAATGCATCAAGAGTAAACTTTGTATAGAATCATCTAACAGAAGGTCTAGAGATGTTAGATCAGAAAAAATAGGAGCAAAGGTGAGGGATGTTTTGTTTAGTTTTGTGTTTGGTTTTTAAGAATAGGAGGCATCGTGGTGTAAGGGAAAAATTACAGGACAGGTAAACATGAGTTTTGGTCTCTAACTAGGTAGGTGACTTCGGGCAAGTCACTTATATTCTCTGAGTTTCACTTTCCCCATTTGTAAATGAGAATGATACTGTATATTGTGATGATAATTAATAATATGCAAACAGTGTAAATATCCAGAAACATAGTCCCAAAGGAGCACAAAACTGAATACCTAGTCTTCTAGCCCAGTGGAAACTGTAGACCCCTATGGGAATGATTCACTATTTAGCAATTGCTAATGGTGCCTTTTTAAATTTACCTCTGCTTCCCCACATCATCTTTGCTTCTTCTGAGAAACTCGCCTTCCTGCGATTGAGTTGTTCATTTGCTTCTCCCATTACTCATTATTAAAGAATGGGAGTCAAGATCAAAATCACATTATCACAGCAAAAAAAGACCTGAATATTTTACTAACACTAAATAATTTAGAAATCTAATATATTTATCAATGAACATACTACTGTTTCACTAAGCCAGTGAAGAGATACATTGCCCATTAATTTCATATTATATATGGCTAGCTTCACTCTATATATGGTAAATTTTATTTACTGGAAGTAAGTTCAAACCCTTTTAGGAATGTTTTCATCTATAGTTTACCAATATGCTAAGTTTTCTATCTCTGGCATGTGGGATGCCCACTGGTCCAGAAGGGATTATGAACCAACATTTCATTCACTTAAAAATTATCCCTATACTGATGCGTGCTAACCACTTCGTTGCCAAGGAAGAGCCAGCATTAGGAAGTAAAAGGAAAGGAAAAGAAAGAAGAGAATCAGTTTCTTTAGTTATGGAACAAAATGGAGCAAGGATTACTGTAGCCATTACAATAGTTTTAGAACTAGACATAGCACATGTGCACATGTGTGTATATATATATATACACACACTCAGAGCCACTCTAGTCTCTTGAAGTTCATTTTCCAACCCTAACAGAAATACAGATGAGCCATTCACACAGGTTTCTGCAAGTAAGTGAATTCATATGTCCCCATATTAACATATACAGACACCAAGCTAACCTCACTCTGTGATGCATCCATATATTATTCTCATATCTACTGAAATATTTATCCACACAGAGTCACCTAGCAGATGGTTGACTAGAGATGTAATGAGATTGATGACCTGGTAAACAAGAGATGCTGGACTGGATAGAAGGATGGGACAAGTGGTAAGATGAGGTTGATAGAAGAGGAAAAGTAGCAAACTAGTCAGCAGAGCAAACTTAGGCTTCCAATGAAAATCAACCTAGTCTTGAATCTGAGACTTTGCTCGCCAGAAGATGTCTTTGAGCAGACTAAAGAATGCCTGCCTCAGCATCCCACCAGTCACCCCATATAGTATTAGTGGCTGCCACCTCTCCTTTGTAATTGGCCAACTGGTTCTGCTATGAGTGTTATATGAACTAACATTTGTAAAAGATGGTTTTAAAATACAGAAAAGGGAACAGTAAGCCAAACTTATGCTAACTTAATATCTTTCTGTAGTGTGAACTGAATAAATTTGAGAGGGACTGTTGACTCCCTCTTTGAGGCACTGTAGATGTATTAATGCAGCTTAAAGAAGCATGAGCTTTTTCAGGCTTTGAGTCATCTGGAGCTTAAAGTCAACTAAATCTGCTAAATTCTTTTCACACTTGTTACTACCAAGCCAAGTTCCTATTGTCCTTTCTGGTACAATTTATGTCCCTAGCCAAAGGCCAAGCTTCACAATTATCCCTTTTTCATCTTGTTGACTTTGACAAATCTGCCCATTCAGGTCATTTTTCAATCAATTCTGTCATCTAATAGCTATCCCTCCAGCTTTGGGTACTTCAAAATTGGCAAGCTATCCTTCCATGTATTCATTTGAAATGTTGATTAAAATTGATGAACACTACAGGACATTCCCTTACAGTTAAAATCAGCCTGTTCAAAAGCAACCTTGTGGACACAATTACTTATCTAATTATGAATCTGCCTGACATTACTACATTCCAGCCCACAATGCCACTTTTTTGTAACCCTGTTCAGAGGATTCGCTTGGCAAACTTGGTCTTGCTCAAATTCAGATGTTCTCTGACTCTGAAGGAAATGCTAGATGGGGCTTCCCTTTTAATCTTCTGGGAATGATATTCTGACAGGTCTGTTTTGCCTTATCTTCCCATCTGTGATCAAATTAGCTTTGATACTGAAGTTCGAATTGCCTTATACAGAATTTTCTCTTTATCCCTCCGCTTTCCATCCCTATTCAGGATTATTTTATTAATCATCACAACATGCTGCTATTCTACATATGGAGAGATGAATACCCAGATAAGTTGTGTGCTCTAAATTAGTGAATAAACATAGAAGGCAACCGGCTGTGGCACACAGATGTATTCTCTTGAAGAAATACACTGCAGAAAGCAGCACATGCCCCAGTCTGCCAAATGGATCTACAAATTATTTCAACCACAACTCCATGGCTATTAAATTGTAGACAGCATTAGCATAATTCTTTTTTCCTATTACTCAATTTAATTATTGGCTAGTTAATATATTTATATGATTCATATATGTTTAATTATTGACTAGTTAATATACTTATATTGTCCACATATATACACATATACACAAAATGTTCAGTAAAAAAATACTTTGTGCTATCCTTTCTCTGGTCTTCTCCACCCCATCCCTACTCACAAACACTTGACTACTGCCATTAATTTATTGAATAGCATCTATTATTTCAGGAATACACTAGTAACTATAAATATATATTCTTTTTTATAATTTTAATTTTATTTTGGTATAATTAATCTACAATTACATGAAGGACATTATGTTTATTAGGCTCCCCCCTTCACCAAGTCGCCCCCACATACCCCTTCAGAGTCACTGTCCATCTGTGTAGTAATATGCTGTAAAATCACTACTTGTCTTCTCTGTGTTGCACAGCCCTCCCCGTGCCCCCACACACTATACATGTTAATCGTAATACCCCCTTTCTTTTTTCCTGCTCTTATCCCTCCCTTCCCACCCGTCCTCCCCAGTCCCTTTCCCATTGGTAACTGTTAGTCCATTCTTGGGTTCTGTGCTTCTGCTGTTGTTTTATTCCTTCAGTTTTCTTTTGTTCTTATGCTCCACATATGAGTGAAATCATTTGGTACTTGTCTTTCTCCGCCTGGCTTATTTCACTGAGCATAATACCCTCTAGCTTCATCCATGTTGTTGCAAATGGTAGGATCTGTTTTTTTCTTATAGCTGAGTAATATTCCATTGTGTATATGTACCACATCTTCTTTATCCATTCATCTACTGATGGACATTTAGGTTGCTTCCATATCTTGGCTATTGTAAATAGTGCAGCTATAAACATAGGGGTGCATCTGTCTTTTTCAAACTGGAGTGCTGCATTCTTAGGGTAAATTCCTAAAAGTGGAATTCCTGGGTCAAATGGTATTTCTATTTTGACCATTTTGAGGAACCTCCATACTGCTTTCCACAATGGTTGAACTAATTTACATTCCCACCAGCAGTATAGGAGGGTTCCCCTCTCTCTACAACCTTGCCAACATTTGTTGTTGTTTGTCTTTTGGATGGTAGCCATCCTTACTGGTGTGAGGTGATATCTCATTGTGGTTTTAATTTGCATTTCTCTGATGACAAGCGATGTGGAGCATCTTTTCATGTGTCTGTTGGCCATCTGAATTTCTTCTTTAGAGAACTGTCTATTCAGTTCCTATGTCCATTTTTTAATTGGATTATTTGCTTTTTGTTTGTTGAGGTGTGTGAGCTCTTTATATATTTTGGATGTCAATCCTTTATCGGATCTGTCATTTATGAATATATTCTCCCATACTGTAGGATACCTTTTTGTTCTATTGATGGTGTCCTTTGCTGTACAGAAGCTTTTCAGCTTGATATAGTCCCACTTGTTCATTTTTGCTTTTGTTTCCCTTGCCCAGGGAGATATGTTCAAGAAGAGATCACTCATGTTTATGTCTAAGAGATTTTGCCTATGTTTTTTTCTAAGAGTTTTATGGTTTCATGACTTACATTCAGGTCTTTGATCCATTTGGAGTTTACTTTTGTGTATGGGGTTAGACAGTGATCCACTTTCATTCTCTTACATGTAACTGTCCAGTTTTGCCAGGACCATCTGTTG